TTCCTAATTAGCTTCTTACTATCAGTGAAAGGTTCCTACATGCAGACAATTTGCAAAGTTGGGTATTTCAAATGAGAGATAATTTTTTTCTCTGTGCTTTTTTCACTGGTTGGAGGTGGGCAGGCTCAGCTGGGAATAGGTGTTTGGACTTTTCATCAATCATCCATTCAGTGAAAACCAATAAACTGTGCATTTACAGTCCCTGCTTTGACAGTACTCTGTATAACAGTTTTTTTTAGCTTGTATTTATTTTTACCACCAGGTTGCTATCTGCTTTTTTGCTCAGTTTCTTGTTGCAAGATGCTTCAGCCTTAGTCATGGTACAGTAGCTTGTCTTGTTTATAAAAATCCAGTGTACTGATGAAGTGCAAAAGAGGAATGATGCAAAACTATGAAACACGGCAGAACAGAGGAGGGTGTACCTGAAAGAGCTCATCAGGTATATTTTATGCTAATGCCCTACACACAGAATCTAGTGTGGAACCTATGTTGTGTATTTCCTCTGCAAGACAACTTTATTAAAAAAGACAAAATGTCATGGGGCTGGTACACCTCCACCGTTGTTTGCTTTCATCGAGAGCCTGCGAAAAGACCCGGTAATAAATCAAGTAGACGCATGAAAGCAGATAGCGTAGTATCCTGTGACTGGGGATGCAGTGAAGGAGTCTGATATTTAGATTCCCTGAAGATACACGGAGAGGCTCAGCTCCTCTTGTGTCTCTGCACTACACAAACAGACATCAGAGAAGAACTGAGGCACTCTGATGAGGAATAGCCACTGATGTATGGAAGCCTGTTACTTTACAGGATCTTCAGAGAGATGGGAGAGTAGAAAAGAAGAGGAGAATGAAGGGAAAATCTATTATGTTGATTTATTCTGTACACAGAACATCTATTGCATATCTGTCCATGCTACATGAGGGATCCCTCCTTTGTTGCTCCTCGAGGTTGCTTCCTTTTTATTTTCCCATTAAAGGAATTTTGGGGGGGTTTCCTTATCCAGTTCCAGGGTCTAAGGATAGAGGGTGTGGTTTGGTGTTCAGATAGTAAAGCCCCCACAGGCAAATTTGTGACTTGTGATATTGGGCTATATAAATAACATTTGACTTGACTTAAAGAAAAGCTTAGAGGAAGCAAAGGAACTGTAGAATGGGAGTCAAGATTTCTGAAGGACCTTAAAGATGGCAATTTATAGAAAGCAGCGGTGATGAGAGGAAATTATTCGGAATGAATGGGACTGTGGAGTACCATGAAGTTGAGAGGCATGAAGAGAGGGAGTAAAAAAAAAAGGAGAAACCAGGCAAAAGGTAAAGTGCTATGTCTATATTGTGAGAGAATGGACACATGGCAAAGAAGGAAGCTATTCAGGGGAGGTGCAGATAAGGAATGCTTCGGACGAAGAGATCATAATATTAATGTTATTTTATATGCAGCTGAATTAAATGCTTATGTTTTGCACTATGTTTCGTAAGGAACATCATTAAATAGAAAAGTAATATATATTAGAAGCTGTCAATTTTTCATCTTAAAAACGTCAAATACAACTTTTAGAAACCATAATCAAGATGATGTATGAGTGAGCAAACTGTTTTGCATACAGCCTATCACAGCAAATTATACACATTAGTTTTAAATTGACATGTCACTCAAAAACTCTGATTGACATACACTCTACTGTAGCAGACACGGCGCTATGTCAGCAGTATTACTATAGTGTAGCAGCATGCAAAGAGACACCATCACCAAACAATCTGTAACCAACCAAAACATTGTTCACTTTCACAGAATCTTCCCACTTAATCTATCTAAATTTAGGAGCTTTACACATCAGACAAATGAATTGTAATAACTTGAGAAATTAAGTACAGATGTACAGATTATTTTGCTTGTACAAGTTACGTGCAAAAGTATGTGACCACTTTGAAGTCATTTGTGAATTTTTGTGTCATTTTTGACCTCAGCTAAAAATTATATTAATTTTCTAAAATGGTTAGAGTGCAGCTTTTTACTGTGTCTGCATGAAGGTGCACAAACAAACTAAAATAGTTCGGTAATAAATTCCCTGCAGTAATTCAGTACACAATCACAGGCTGTTTAATTATCTTCCCAACCTGAGTAATTAATGAGAAATGTGCAGGTATTATGGTAGTGTAGGCAATTGGCTGCGCATTGGTTTAACAAGTTATCATTTAGCTCGGCTTTTAACAATGGAAGCACCATGGAAAGTCAGAAACACTGTCTAGCTCAATTCTGATACTAAGTTATATTTCCGCTGCCTTTGCCAAAGAAGTTAGCTAAGTAAAAGAGTTAGGAGAGGTAGGTAGGTCTACCTTGTTTCTGTATGCCACTTCTCCTGAGTGAATTGTTCGGCTGCTGCACACACGACGTGCATTCATGTATTTGTCTGTGGGTGGTTGGGTCCCCTTTGTTTCATACTAGTCCCAGTATAGAAAACGCAAGCTATATTTCATCGTGAATATTAATACACCATGTGAAATTTAAGCAGCAGTGCTCATAATTCAACTCAATGCATTTAGGAGAAACACTTAAATATCCTTTGGAGATACAAACTAATAAGCTACTGAGCAACTGGTTTGATATGCACTTTATTTCCTGCCATTTATTTGAGTTAAAATGATGCCAAAACATCCTTTTTCTCAGCCATGTCCCACAGCTCCTCCTGTAGAATCCTGATGCTTTGTCATGCCAAGTGGGAATGTTCCGGGTCTGCCCCAAGGGCCTCTTCCCAGTTGGATGTGCCAAAGTGCTTCCATAGTGAGGCTTCCAAAACAGCCAAAATGGCTTCTTTTAATGCAAAAATGCTACCTTTAAACACACAGCCAGTTTCATTTGACATGGTGGAGTACTTCCTGAGGAGGGCATCTTGACCCGATTCTCAGACCAGCTTGGCTGGCTGACGATGGAGAGTCATGCTGGCCATTTGAATACACAATCTATTTCAAGCTAGTGACCATGGATGATGATTGCAACAAAGATGATCTAGTAAATCGAAAACAGCATGCAATCAAGGACAACTCAGCATTATTAGCATGAATCAGAGATGTTACCCCAAGGTCACCAAAATGTACGCTCTGCACTCAACTGAACAGAAATGGTGACAAGACAACTTTTGTGGGACCTGGTCCTCATTCACAGTGAGCTTTAAATATCACACTGTGACTATACAAGGGCTTGACTGCGCCTAAGAACAGCTCCCAGAACCTATTTTCCCACGATACAGCCCACAAGACACTAGGGAAAACACGCAGATAAGCCCTTTTCAAGCCTATTCATGACCATGCAGGATCCTTGCTAGAATAAAATGCTGGCCCGCTGTTTAACAACCAGAAGGAAATATGCAGTGTTCCTTCAGGATCTGAAGTTTGTCAGTCATCCAGCAGCTTCTGTCTATCGCCTTGGCATATGCTTTACTGGGAAGGATGAGCAGTGTAATATCCCTGTAATTGCAGAACATCTCCAGGCCACCCTTCGCCTGTTAGTCCAAAGGTGCTGTCCCAGACCTCCACACAGCACTGAAGAGGCATATCAACCAAGACAGCCGAGCAATATTCAGAATATTCATGGTGAATCTCATCCACCTGGCACCTTATCACTGCTGGGTATTTGGACCAACTCAGTGGCATGCACCAGAAGAAAGGGGAAGGCATCCCCTAAGACTCTGCCTTCACTGTGTTGGCAGGGTCCACAAGTTCCTCAAATTGTCCTTTTCATCGGCAATATCCCCAGTCGAAATCAGCAGTACTTGTGCCCTGCTGAAAACATCGTTCTGTTGTCCACTAGTGGATTCTTGGGTTGCTGCCATCGCTGGCACCAGAGGCCTTCTGGCAACAGCTTGGGGCAGCTGTCTACACAATGGTCCATTCAAATACCATGTCCCCAGTCCTACTTAGGATGTAACAAATATTCCTCCAGCAGTACACTGAACGGGCAGATTATTAAAACCAAAACTAGATGGTATTAATTTTACCTAGATGTACCAAATAAACTGAAAACTGTGTGTACACCGTAGCTGGCATCAAGCTTTGAATTCTTCCTCACCAGAAAAATGACATTCATCGTCCGCAGAACCAGTTACTGTAGCACAGGGTTACTATACCAGGGTCTTCACTTTTGCTTTCTGACTTGCACCACATCGAACCACCACACCATAAAATATGAATATTAGAATGTAATCTATAGTAAGGCTGAAAAAAATGCCAGTGAAGCATAAAATGACAAGGACATGTCACTAAAACCTAAATAACAGTGTTAATGTTTCAATGCTGTAATTCAGGGACATCTTGTCATGTGAAAAAGATTTCTTACTGTAGCTGACGAAACCTAAATATGGGTCGACAAGGTCAGGTCTAATGCTGATATTATTATAACAGCAGCATTCATATTCCTCAGAAATAATTTCTGTAAAAAGACCAAATATGCAGACTTATGCAGTAAAATGTCAACGCGACGTCTACCTTGTTAACTCAGAAAAAGCTTTTTTTTTAAGTCATAATTCTCTAAGATTTAACACAGCATTAGGAGTCGTGATGAGGCATCTCCAGTGGCCAGACATTTTCAGTTCAGGACATGACATTTGCTTCTTTGAGGTTTCAGGGCACAGAAGTACTGAAGTCTTTAAAATGCCAAGGGGACCAGTGGATAGAACATTTGAACAGCTAGACTTTTTTTGAATTCAGTGATCTAGAATGTGTCTTATTGGCAAATCTCAATAATACTCTTAATATAAAAACAAAGGTTAACCTCAAAGAACAGAGTTTATGTTTACAGTCAGAACACCGGGAAGAAGTTTGTCCCAGGAATAATGTTTGCTATTAGATATTTTTCTTGTGTCTGTTTGTCCACATGAGACAGGAATGGTGAAGCCTGAGGAGACAGTGAAGTAGCTGAGAGAGCAGTATCAGGACAGAGGAGACATTAAAGTACTGAATACACCGTAGCATGCTAAAGGGGTTGTGGAGATGCGTGGGGTAGTACTGTACCTCTGCTGCCAGTGTCTGTGGGGTCAGAGACGTGGGTGCCTAATAGAGCAGTAGGATCTGGAGGGATGGGATGTAGGGGGGGAATGGTGGATGGAGGCAAGGTGGTGGGGGCGTCTGGTGGAGGGGACAGACAGACACATATACACAAAAATAATACAAGAACAACAACAACAAAAAAGAATTTACATGGGGGCAGTTAGGGCAACAGAAACTGCACAAGCATATAGATAAAATCATTGGAAACGTGCTTTCTAAAGCGCAATAATGGATTACTGTGGAAGCTAAGTGATGCACTACAAAACATACAGCACATCCATTCAAGCAGTGCTAAACCTTTTTGTGAGTCAGCTTAGGGTTGTCACGGATTCAGAAAGGAGTATTTGGTGGATCAGTGATATATATTTGTATGTTATAATTAAATGTTTTGCTGGGTAATTTACAAACCTTAAATGACCCTTTGTCACTTTAAAATTGTGTCCGTGTCAACTGTTAATGATTCTCTTTGGGTCATTTCAGTCATACTTGACAAAACATGGTTAAGTAGCTGAACGTCTGCACGTACTTTGGTGTTAAGGCTGTTTAGTATAGGCTGTATAGTGCTTGAGGCCAACAATCCACAAATGAAGCGTGTTCATCAAGCAAAACACAGGAGTAGTCTTCCATTACTTAAAATGTAATGGAAGAAAAGTGCAAGATGACATTTTCACATTATGTTAGGAAACCCAGGATCCTTTGTATTTTTTGTTTTTAAATGTGACTCATCATTTACGTAGCAAGGGGACAAGATTGTTGAGATGACAGACCCTGTTGTGAGAACCACTCAACAGCAGTACTAAATTAATAAAGTAATTTGACCTGTGCCAATTACCCATAGCTGGCCCATGGTTTAGGGAAAAATCTTTATTACCACACTCTGTTTTTGACTTCTCACTACAGGATCACGGTAATAAACGCGCTACATCCATTTCTCACTGTCACATGTTAAAGCAATGAAAAAAAAAAACTGGACTGGAACATTGTGTGACAAAGTTAATGAGGTTACACTACCACCTTGGCTTTTATGTTTATGTCACTCTGGTTTTTATAGTGAGCTGGAGGCTTTTAATTGGCTGTGGTGCTCTTTCTCAGGACCAACTGTCCTGTGTGTCTCTGTGACATTTCAGTGTGAATCACTAAGCAGCTAAGTGCATGTCTTCAGGAAAGAGGGGAAAGAGAAGAAACCATTAAAAAGGTATTTTCTGAGAATTATGGTGGCAATTGTGAAAGGCCTAAAGGTGTGCTAATCACTAATGAAGGGTAGGAACAGACTGGGTGCCATTTCAAAAGAACACGTAATGAATTTGGGCAGAACTCTTTGACCCTCCCATACCCAATTACTTTTTTGTGTCAGTTTAATAACATCACTGTCATTACATGCACTGGGTATTTGTGTTGTTGGCATTTTGAAGGAATTGTTAGCTGCACGCAGACATGTAGGATGAGCACATTAATTAAACCTTAAATAGGAAGTGCAAAATCTGACTAAAAAAAAGTGTGTACATTTTAAGGTTTACATATTAAAGGTTCCTGGGAAATAGGTATCTTCTTTCATAGTGTTTCTCTTTTATTCTGATTTCACAACATACTCAATTAAAAACTGAATTGCGCAAAAAAAAAAAAAAAAAAGTAACAAAGGGGACGTGATCTGAGTGGACCACAGTAATAAATTCTTAAAGTGATCCTAATCAACATGCTGTTATGTCCATTTTTAACTAAAGTAATTTAAACGGCAGTGCTGCTAGTGGCCTACACAGTCGTCACACTGATGTGAATTTCAAGGAAATTTAGAGGCTATACTCTATGTATCACTCCTCCCTGTTTTGCCTGAGTATCTTGCTGTACTTTTTGCATATAATAATAATAATAACAATAATACTGTACTGATCTACTTTGCTTCAAGTTGTTGGTTGCTCTAATCAAAAATTACCTGCCTTTTTATCCCTCATCACACACTAACTTCCTAAAACAGAGGGAAAATAGATGTCACTGATCTTTTTTTAAGCATTATTACTTAATGCCAAGAGACAAATGGCAGTAGAAAAACAGAAGAGCCATCCATTTTCCCTGACACGCCGTTGCTTTATCCTCCGCATCCTCTGGCGTTACTAGGAATTACTTCTCCTTCCTGGTGATATTCCTGACAACGCAGCACTAAATTCTGCCTTCCTCACACATTTTACTCCTGGTGTGTGTGAGTGTGTAGAGGATCTGGGACGCAGGTTTATTTAAGGAAAGGCGTTGGTGGCTTTTGTGTCACCTGAGGCCCTTATTCTCTTCGTCAGAGATGGTACCACTAATCACAGTATGCAGATCAGGAGGTATTATAATCCTGGTTTTACCAGTGCAGTCTGGTGCTTGTGCTTGTGAGGGTCATACTTTCCACTATTTGCATGTGACATTAGGAGACCAAGGCATCATCTTGCAGCTGTCAAATAACTGATAAAGAGTTCACTCCATTTTAACTTTTGGATGTGATCACATGAAAGACAGTTACCTGCATTTCAACCTTTCTCTTTAACTCACCATAGACGTAGAGTACATATTCAGCACTGCTGGTCCCTAGGTGGTTGCTGGCTTCGCAGCGGTAGGTGCCATTGTCTGTCTTGTTGAGGGAAGTAAAGGTGAGCTCCCTCCCCTCTACAATCATCCTGTCCAGGTCAGGAAGTTCACCCCCATCCTTTGTCCACATCACAGGATCTGGCCTGAGAGGTAAGAGGATGTAACAGAGAAACCAGGCACATTATGTTTACCTGACTGCAGAATTATAAAAAAAGGCTGACATCATCTGATACACAATTTGGGTGACTTACGAAGGGTTTCCTTTGGACACGCACTCCAGCTTCAAGTACTGACCCTCCTGAGGAACTGCGAGTGAGTGGATAATCTCCACACGAGGAGCATCTAGGACAGAAGGCGAGGGCTCAGCTTGAGGGTGGACAATGATGAGACATGACTGTCTCAATATAGTTATTGTGATTTACTTAATATTCAGAATTAAATAACAACAATGCTTCATCCCATATTGTTTTTTTTACTGTTTTTCTAGAATGAAATCCTACAGTTTTAAAGGATGTGAAATACAATAATTTATGTCACTCTGTGACATATTTCAATAAATTAGAACATTTTATTTTATGATATATCATTATTAGAATATTGTTATAATGTAAGCAAAGTACATGGTGATTTTCATGTCAAACTAATTAATGACATTTTGCCCAAACCAACTTGATATAGTATTATGAACATTATTATTATACACATGCAGATGTCATGTAAAGATGGAAATGATGGAAACACGGAAAGAAAAAAGTAACTCTGAAACACTGCTACACAATGTGGGTCACACATTAAGTTCAATGGCAGCTAACAGGATTCTTTTCAAAGCCCATTTGCGTGTCTTTGTGCGTACACTCACAATGGACCTCCAGAACTTCAGTGGCCTGCTGTGGTGCCTGAGTGAGTGCCACATGGTCCACTCTGCAGGTGTAAGCCACTCCATCATCATTTCTGTCCACGTGCAGCTGCAGAGAGCTCCGTACTGTAAATGTCTTCCCACTTGCATTCACCTCTTTAGCACCTTTGGAGAGAGTTGCGTACTGTCACTGCACATTTATCTTATAAAGTGTGATGGCTACACATCAACGAGAGGCTCCACCAGGGTATTCTAGGCTAGTATCTTTACATCGATAGTGGCGCTACAGTATTTTCACCATGCTGCACAATTCTGAAAAATAACATGGTAGACTGCTGAATAAAAAGTTCATTTTGTGCAATTAGGCTGAGTAAAACTAAACTGACTTTAAAAACTCAGGGAACTCTAGAGTACTGTAGTAACAGAGTCATTTACACTTTGTTTAATTCGTGTTCTGATACAGTTAGAAAATCACCAAGCTGCTTTGCTCGGAGTGGATTGTTTTTGCAACAGCCACCAGCTGGTTGCAAAAACAATCCACTGCTTGTTTGACTTGTACAGTACCTGGTTGTTCAATCAGTCTATTATGTGTTTCCTTTGTGTATAGTTCTTAGGCACCTTGGGGGAAATTATGCATACTATTATTCCTGTTCTAGATCTGCACTATAAATGGCAAAAAATGAACAATAAAAACACTGATGAAAGAAGCAAAAACAATGCAGCTCTTACTGAGCATGAACACACCGATGGCCAGGGGTGCTGACTCTATAAGAATAGTTAATACAGCATGTTGAAAATGTTCATGCACACAGGCCTTTTTACTGCCCTGACATTAACATTAACATTATAGTCCAAAACCTCTCACCAAGAAATTAGTGATTTTCAAATCACAACCTTAAAAAACTGCAACCATGAGGATATTGTTCCTTTTTCAGCTGATGCCTCTCTCACTATTAAACTATTAATGCTTTGTGATATACCATTACCAGCACACATCACTGTCACACATGGCTGTGGATGCCGTTTTGCTACATCTGCATGGCAGTTCTCATCAGGGCTCCAACAAAACTCTTTCAATGTAATGTGTATAGCGTAGTGTATGTGTATAGCTTTCTCAAATTATCTACCAGATGTACAGAAATTGAGCATACTCCACATCATTACACTTTTTGTTTCATTTGCCTCCCCATTCACATACAGTAGGCCCTAGAAAAGCCAAATGTGTTTGAATAAAGTGTCACAACCAGTCCTCATGACACCGGTCTTTGACTACTATACCAAATCAGTGTCTTTGAAATGTTATTGGTTAGTATTAACTCATCATGAAAGCAGTGATGCCTATTAGGTAGGTAACCAGTCCTACTGATACCTGGTACTAGAGCATGGATCGAAGAGTGACCATCTGATACCGGACTGAGATTCTTTCTACATACCTAAAAACCAACCTGATGATATGTTACGAATTCCTGATTCTCTCCAAGTCCCAAGCTGTTGAGGAAGAAAAACCCTGCACAAATTCATACCTAATTTGACATTTAACAATGTTTGCCAATTGCTGATGAAGCCTCAGCCTACACATATGACATAAATGTCAACTCAGAAGCTGTTAAATATGCATGATGTAAAACAAATGACCATCCTCTTACAGAACACTCACTCATACCTAAGTCAGTGGTCTTACACAACTCGCCACTGACAGATTTGCATTTTTCTACTGGCTGTTTTACAACTTAATTGTAACATATCCACCTCCGAGCACTTATTTTTAACACATTCTTCTTCTCACTCATCAGTTCAACCAGTCATTTGGGGGTGGTTGGTTTGTTCATATCACACAGGCAGCAAGTATTTAAATCATATCAAGCCTGTTCATCCACACTCTTATGCTGTATTCAGATGTCCAGCCTTATCTTTGCATTCAGGTGCTACCCTGCTTTGTAAAACCATGTCCCTCTTTTTCTGTATTCTCATTTTAGCAAATTCATAGAGGCATCAGTGTATGCCCAATCTCTTTATCATGCTGACTGCCTTTGTTTGTATCTCCTAAAGAGACTGTTTACGCTCCATAAGCCCCCCTATCCCACTGTCTCCTCTCACTCTCTATTCTGCCAATCAGCTATTCTGCTCAGTCACTTCCCCAAACTGAGGCAATAAGCCCGCCTCCCAAGAGAGGAATGAGTGACGGGTCTGCAGTGTTAGTAACATCCATCCAGACAACAGCAGTGAGGGAAAATGGCTGAATTTCTTCACAAAGAAGAAATTGCAAGAGACAAAGGAGACTGAAAAAGTGGAGGGCTGGAGAGACAGGACACTGAATTTCTGATATCATGTCACGCCTTAGCAGTTGCGGACATTCTCTGAGCATCTCTGTTAGTTATCCCAGGTTATCATCCATTGCCTCACCTTACTTCTAAGTGTTTTGAACAGCTAAACGTCTTTTTCTCTTTTTGTCTGCAGCCTTAGAATGCTTTTCAGAATCACCCTTACTTTGTCCTTCTTTGTCTTGGTTTGTTTCCTGTTAATAGTCTATGTTATTGTTGAGGTTAGTTTGGGGGTTAATGAGTAGCTAGCTGCTTTAATCAAACATTAATCTACATAATTGAACCAACATGACAAGTTGAGTCATTCATCTTCATGAATTGCCTTATTTTTACTGATATGCACCATTTATACACTAGGCTAATTTAGCTGTTAAAAAATTGCCCTATTTCACAAAGGTTACTGTATGTTTTATTTTGTGTCTGACAGCTGTCTCTGTTTTGTTTTTGTTTTATTTTTTTGCATAGTGTCACCTTAGTGCAAGTTTGAAAAGAGGATTATAACTTAGTACTTTCTTTAAAAAGTCAGTTTAAAATATTTTAATGGCTTGATCTGAATAAACTGAACAAATCACCTTGAATTGCACAGTTTGATGGTGCTCATATGCCATTCAAGACCAGATTTAAAGTACTTCAATCAATATAATCGGCACTCAGTGATGCCCCTCTCGCAACTAACCTAATGTTCTGTCTGTGCTTAAACTAATATATTTATTATTGCAGGCTGGCTTTTTGCAAAAAACAAAACAAAACAAAAGATGACTTCTCAAAGTTTGTTCATATTGTTCACATAATATTTCTATCTCAGAGGTTCCTGATTGTAAATGCACTCTGCACAAAAACAACACTACAAGAGAGGCCGAGAAACTCACTTTCTCTATGATTCTGCTGTGTGATTTAAGTGTCCAGACCCTTTAGGATTCTCGTCTCATGGGGATTTGAATGGACTCTGATTGCCTCTGTGGGATTCATGATGAGAGTACTACAAAGTTCATTAATTTCATTATTTGGCCTAAAGTTTTGTGAGATCCACTTTGAGAACATAATAACAGTTGTCTAACTGCAAGTAATACCTCATCATTAAAGTGTGTCAATCTACATGCACCACATTGGCTTCTGCACGTGTCTGTGTGTGCATGCACGCATGCGTGTGGGTGGGAGTAGGTATAATTGGCCTATAAATATCACATTTTAGGCACAGCTGAAAGGAGCAGCTGACATCAAAATGCCATTAAAGCTTAAGATTGTCAATCAAAAAACTCATCTGGCCAGTCGCATACATATTATGTGTATTGAGAGGATTTTGAAGCTTGTCATATTTTTTGTTGTCACATACTCACACTGGATGTTAGCACTGGGAGGGAAGGACAAATATCAACAGCTTATTTTGTTTTTTAAATTACTAGCTCACAATACATAATTTAAATAGCCAAACAGCTATAAGTTGACATTTGTGCAGATTTACTAGGGTATAAATCTGTACATGTTTATCCAATCTACATTTACTTAAAATAAATGTAAGTATTTCTCTAATGAGAAATATACACTCCATCCTACCATATTCACCTGTGCTACCTGTTGTCAATAAAGAGCCTGGCAGTATTTGGTTGTGATTGTGGTTGCTCAGAGCTCTGTATTGTTGGTGTGAGCCAAGATGGAGCTTAGAAATGGAAATGACATGCATAAAATGTGAGAATTTGATCCTTTTATGTAATTTCACAAGAGAGAGGGACAATCCAAGAAAGGACAGTGGAGGGATAGAGAAGAGAGACAGAGGAGGACTCACCCTGGCAGCAGGGGTATGAGGGCTGACTCAACATACCCTGAACTGCAGCCCATCTGGGATTTAAAACATTTTTCGCAAGTGCGAACAATGTAAATTCATCTGTGGGCGAGGGCAAGGATAGTGAATATATATGGTGGTACAAAACACTAATTTAAATACAGTAAAGTTCACAGTGGAAACAAAAAATATGTTGCCAGATAAGTACCTAATCTCTGTTTTCTTTTGCCTGTCAGCAGATGAGCTGCATAACAATAGCTACAACTAAACTTTAAGACAAGAGCACTAACACACAGCAGGCTCCAGCTCCACTGAGGTGTGGAGATGATATACTGTGCCCTTTGCTATCTCCTCACTGATTCTAGCTACCGTGTTCTGAGAGCTGGGCCTGTTGGCAGCCTGTAGGCATCCTCCCCTGTGTGAACTGTCTTACCAGCTTGGCTGTGTTTAACTGACAGGTGACTACTACAAGGGAGCACTTTTAAACGTTAGGAGAGTTTCTGTCAGTGCCTGGCAAGCCGGTACGGTAGTGTCCTTTCTAACATAAAACCCCCTGAGCATTCACAGCTATGAAGTGTGTACTCTGGATTCATAAAGATGGTTTTCCACTCCAAAAGGAGAGGTCTTGCTGGTCTCGGTGCCATGTCACTTAAAACTGGCCAGGTGCTGGCTCTACGTCCAGGATGCTGCTCTTAACAGATGGAGACCACTGACTCTATAAACGACAGACAGGCTGACAACTCCCAGAAGTGAAATTTCCAAAAATCGATCGCCCCCTGGGATCTGGTTGCAGTGAAGGTTATAAATCCCACCTCCTCCATGTCAGTGGATGGAACATTAGCCAAAATAAAATTTCAAATACAGTTTTCCTTGTTGTATTTGTTGTTGTTTGGTAGATATTATCACACTGATTTGCATACAATTGGTAATTTTTCTGGGTAGTTTGTTTTTAATAGGTTATTTAATGATATAAACAGAGGTGTATTTCAGTTGATATGACTGCTTTGATTGGGGTCTGATGCTGTCACTCCAATTCTCATCACTACTGCACCTGTATAAAAGCAAGACGGCAGCCGTCACATTTACAGTATTTTGGTTGTATTTTTGCATAGTGGAGGGGAGTGGAGACGCCATGTCCATCGTATACAGTCAATGACGGTGGGTGTAGCAAACTGCTCTTCTTTTTTTTTTTACCACAGGGCTCAAGTCTGTTATCCCGTTCACACACTCACTAGTCCAGTGCCTTTATGTTAATGTACCAATTTAATAAATTTCCAATGATCTCATTTCAGGCATGTGCCTGTATGTACGTGCACGCATGCAGATACTTTTGTGTTTGTGCTGCATGTATAAACAGGATAGAGAAGGTGAATGCACTTTGAGTGCACAAGTCTGGGATCTTTTATTCATGCCACTTGCAGGAGCCATCTTGAAATTAAATCTTTAATGGTCATTGATCCACTCACCCCAGAGAGCTGGATAGTATAAAAGTAGTCCCAGCACTAGTTTTTTAAATAGTGTGCAAGGTTGTCTAACACTGCTGAATTGAGTGAAATGTATTTTTCTTTTAACTAGAAAACTTATTTAAATTCTTAAACTTGATGCTTATTTTAGTGTCCACTATGTCACTAGAAGTCTCATCAACATCATCATAATCCTGTCTGAGCTTCTGGCTCTTCACTTTCCTCGATAGCTCTTTCCAGAGTAAACCTTAGAATAATGATGGCCACCTTATTCTGTCCTCACTTGCACTAGTCAAGCACAATTTCCCATAAATTAAGAAGCAGCCAGCACTATTCAAAAGGTTGCTCAGCCACTGCACAGACTTGAATGATAGCATACTGAAAAGTCAGCACTGAAAATAGTATAAGTTGCAGTATGTCTGCAGTAATAGTTCCTTGTCCTTGACTAAGAAGTTTGACAACAGAATAGGGATGTGACCGCAAATTTGAATGAAATTTGTCTGTTTTTCCCCCCTGAAGCCCCCATGGAATAGAGCTATCATGTAACATGATGAAGCGATAACCTCTACGCTTCAGGTCGGAGAGTATGATAATATCAGTCCAACAGCGAACATCTCCACCCTTATTTGAAATAAATATTCATTTCATCTCTGCCTTGCTTGGTCTTGCACAGCTCCCTCTGGTTCAGTGGTGTGTAAACAAGTGCTACATGTGGTGATATTGGCAGAGGTCTCTCTGGGTTACGGTGTGTAACTGAGATAGAAATATATCATTACTGGGTGGGGACTGAGGGGATCTGAGGGACAAAGAGACAGAGAAATAAGAATATTGGATTCTGTTCCACACACACAAACTTATGTCCTTACATGCAGGCTGTCTGCTCCATCTGTCTGTTTTGCTCACGCACACACATATACGCAGATACATGCACACGCACTTAGCATAGGGTGTCTGTTAACTGCATGCGAATGGGTGATGGACTGCTCCAGGGGCCCTGTCGGTAATATAATCCTCTCAATTCCCCCAGATCCCACACCAATATGTCACAATTGTCATTTATTCCCAGCATGGTCGCCCACAATCAGGTGCCTTTTCACACTGAACACACCCTGAACCTGTCAGGGTGATGAACACTTCAAGAGCACTCGCATACACCTTCACCTGCATACATGCATTGTGTATTAACGCGTTGCCCTTTGTGTTTGCTTGCCTTCATGTTTATTTATTTAGTTTGTTTTAAATGCAGAAAGAAAGTCAGTCTGCCAGAGTGGTTGGCTGGGTTGGTTTTGTTGGTTAAATGTAACGAACATTCACCGATACATTTACACACAAACTCTCTGTGTATACAATAATTCAGACTGAACCTAGATAATAATTCACACCTTCTCTTAGTTCTAAATGAAAATGGGCCAATTAGTGGTAAAAATGCATGTATATTGTGACATAGTAGAGCTAAATGTGTACTGTGTATGCGTCAGTCATAATCATAATCGTAATAAGAACAGACGTTTTGCTGAGTCCTGTATATGCCTGCTGAATGCATCACACTGAGCGGTGAACTGCTAATTAAAAACAAACACCTGCTTGTCAGAAAAAACGAGGTATGAAACAAGTGACTGATGTTTCTTTCTGAATCCAACAGGGTTTTCAGCATCTAAACCTTTATATAGTACTTCTATGGGTAATAAAATCTAAAGGCATATACATGTTTATGGATTTGGTTTGATTCAAGGTGACCTTTTATGGTGTTAAAAATCAAATTGGCAATCTGAATATGTTCCAAGTAAGTTTGAATAAACATGGTGGCATAGATTGAACATCATCTCCCAGCTGCAGTTAATGAAATTGAAAGCTAACCATGATATCAGCTTTAACCTGCATGGAAAACCAGCATCCATTTGGGCTTATCTGCTTGCTAATCTGGACCCTGGGAAACCCTAATGTGAGATAGCAGGCTGAGCTGTCTGAGCTTGAGTCTGGGTAGAAAGGACAGACAGAGAGAGTGTTTCAGTGAACTCAGTGAGGGCCAAAACATCAGCTTCGACTGCAATTCTTGATTGGTCCAAAAACTGATCTGACAAGAATCTTCTAATCTGACATTTGTGTCTCAAGGTTCTGCTTTCTGTTATGGGACAATGTCACCAAGATTTCTTTTATATAGAGAGAAATGGCCAGAAGGGTAAAACTGAGTGCACTTTCTATTCTGGGTAAAGAGCTCCATCCTTGTCACAGAGAGTAATATACTGCACTGATATAAAATTGTACAAGGCCCAAATTAAAGATAGTCGTGTGCCAAGCCGAGAAGAGAATTATAACATCTGACCTGAATGAGAAAGCGCATCCTCTTGAGACAACCTCCACTTCTCTGACTACCTGTTTCTGTGGTAAATTAAAAGAACACAATGTCCTGGCTAAGTTTCTATTTGCCTTACAGGGAGCTTTTCTCTCACTAATAGGCCACTGGGAGCTGCAATAATCACTCGCAGACACACAATAAGCCTGTAAGGAAAATACTCTATCTTCTAATTAGTGCATTTTCTGTTTCTATACACTTCCTGTTCTTCCGAAGGTCAACAAGGGGACATGCCGTATAAAGTGGAGTGACAGACTACTATAATACATGGTTAAAATGTGGAGATTAGTGAGACTGCAAAAGAAAAAAAAAGCAGCATAGTGTCCTCACAAACCCTGAGATTAAAGCATGCAGGGCATAAAATATGACAATGGTTATAAATAATAACAGGTGTTTCACTTAATTTTAATGAATGGTGTGCAAGTAAAAATAGACCTAAACTTTTTTCTATGTTAAGTGTCACTATAAGCAGTTAGCATACTGATTCAGTCTCAGTTGTCACATGACTCATAAGGCATGTCTACTGTATTCAAAACATGTATTGCAAAAGTTATTTAAAATGCTTCACTTAAATGCTGTGAAACATGTTCATAAATACAAGTATGGGCCTCAACATGCACCAGATGGATAACAGACCTAGTCGTTATTGTCAGGGATACAAGAGAAGCACAAAATACATAAAAACAAAAAAACAGATGGCAGAAGGAAAATTATTAATATGCTAAGTTAAAAAACAAAACTCATGCATGCTTGGCAAAATTATTTTTGTGGTTTATTAGTCCTTTGTGTAAACAGAGGAATTAACGCTGAAGTGTGTGTAAATGTGTGTGTGTGATTTAAAGAATGTGACTTCATTTAATTGGGCATTGCGGATGTGCAACACCTGGCTGCTTGTTCTTCTCATTACTGAGTTTCAGTGATCTGCTGGGGTTTGAAATCTTGACAGTGTCTTTCCAATCATTTGCATTGTTTTTTGGAGGAAAAAAAAAAGTAAACCTGTGATTTTCAATTCTGTCTTTTTTGTTTATACTTCGCCATTGAAATTACAAACCGGTGATTTGCATTTTATCTTATCTTCCTTCAGTCTGCTCTGCGAAACCACACAGAACTCATAAAAAATGTCTGCAACCATGCTGATCTTTGACAGTCGGCCCCATGGGTTCTGCATTTTGTTTGAAGAGCTGTGTTTCTCCTCCTCAAAACCCTAATTTAATCATTTCATGTCCCAAGCTCTCTTTTCCTAAATATCAATAATGTCAAGGGGAACAGCAGCACGGTGGAAGTGAAGTGTGTAGTCAGGTAAGTCTGATTTAGAACAACCCTCCCATTACAAAGGAGGTTAATGTATTGCTCTCCGGTCAGAAGATTCGTGCCGAATCTGTTCTATTGGAAACAACCTGTCAAGAACAAACATTCACTGGCCATCTGTCCATTTGGAAAGCATTTTTAAGCAAATTAATATTTCCAGACAGTATGACCTTGGTTTACAAAGCACAAGAAGGTGGAGAGACCCATGCTAAAATGTGAGAACCAACATTTTTAGTGCAAATGGGGATGAAGGAGACAAACAGTGGGCCTAGTTGAATTGCTTGTTCCAAAGAGAAGCTATAGCTTGGTATTAAAAATATCAGTAAAATAAGTAGACAGTTATTCTGTAACAGCATGACCAGTGGCACCGCGTGATTATGTTTTATTTTTTTTTTAACTATATACAAAAGTAACTAAATTCCTTAATTCAGAAAATGCTAACAATAAAATATTTAGTCAAATTCATGAGGATCATCGATTATTTATTTATTATGTTTTAGCAAAAGCTAAGTAATGAAAGGTGTCCAACTTGATAATGTCAAAAACTAACCATAACATCAGCCTGTTTTCTGTGACTTGAAATGCAAACATTATGATTGCTGATTATGAAATAAGGTGTCATTTTTTCTATTCTTATAATTTCCCTAAACGTTTTGTTATAATTAACTCTTACTCTGACATTCTGGATGTAGTGATTGAATGAGATAATGCTGCTATATGTTTAACACAGATATAAATGCAAATATAGATGTTACATACCTTTGACCTCCTTTTCATTCCTGAACCAACGCAGGTCAGCGGCGGGCTTGCTGCCCTGAGTGATGCAGGTCAGAGTGATGTGGTCTCCCTCTAAGGCAGGCTTCGTCAGGCCATCGATCTCTGGCTTCTCTGGTACACCTGAAGGATGAAACGAATGCCACAGAAGCCGTTCACACACAGCGGTATGTCATGGTGCAACAATAACATGATTATGCCTTATTGGAAATTCTTCTCTAGCTCACCCTCTGCAGGGAGAGTGCACTTTACAGAGCAGCCTTCCTGAGCAGTGTCTGTCTCATGAGTACATTAGGGAGGATTCTTGCTGACACTTGCTGGATGGTCTCTCTAACCACTGGCCTCTCTAAGGGTCAGCTCACACACATTTGAAGGAAGTGTACTTTTTCATGTTCATACAGTGGTTTCTAGTTTTGAGCTTTGAGTCTAGTTTTCTTCGACCAGGTTGTAAGACATCTGTCCTAACCTCAAATATGAAAGGGGTGAGTGATGTTTTGCTTGTGATGCTCACAGAACTGAAAAATGACATTTAAAAATTTCAACAATGTGTCCTCCCAGAACCAGTGTCCAGGTTCTTTGGGTATTCTACATGCTTGGATTTGAACAGTTTTCACTGGAACTACTTTCGATTAAACGACTTTTCAGACATTACCCAAAGGAGCTGTATGTGGGAATGCAAATGCCAAGTCAGGTGACCTGGACCTTACGTGGACTTTACCAGCTCTCTAGTACAAAGTCTGCATAATGTGCGAGTGAGCCGGAGTGAGCCATTGTGAGAAAACGGCAGTGTACAGTCCAGAGTATTTACACGGAGTTAGTGGCCATATTGATATGATGGTTTATTGTGTGACAGGTGCAAAACCGGAACAATACAAACCAATGGTGAAGAAAACTGGTCATTTACAATAAAGACCCCAACAAAAACAAACTAGCTTTCATGCATGAAAACAACCTCTGACAGAAGAAAACCAAAAATATCTGTGTGCGTGTCCACAAGTGTGTGACGCCAGACACACATTTATGTGCCCTGAACTGACCTCAGAACTGTTACAGATAGGGTTATCCATGTATTTACACACTGTGTAGCATTAACAGCCAAAATAAACTCCATTAACGTACAAGGTGACTAGTTTGCATTCCTCCTTTGCTTGACTGACCTCAGCACCATGGTCACCATCATCATGTCGCCCTGACATCTGTAGTTATGAAGTGCTTTGAAAGACTGGTGTCGGCCCACCTGAGGGACATCGTGGACCCCCTGCTAGACCCCCTGCAGTTCGCCTACCGGGCTAACAGGTCAGTGGACGATGCAGTGAACATGACACTGCATTACATCCTGCAACGCCATGCATGGACTTCAGCTCAGCGTTCAACACCATCATCCCAGACATCCCCCACTCCAAACTGACCCAGCTAACTGTGCCTGCCCCCACCTGTCAATGGATTACTAGCTTTCTGACAGACAGGGAGCAGCAGGTGAGGCTGGGGAAAACCACATCCAGCACCCGGACAATAAGCACAGGCGCCCCTCAGGGATGTGTGCTCTCCCCTCTGCTGTTTTCACTCTACACCAACGACTGCATCTCGAAGGACCCCTCTGTCAAGCTCCTAAAGTTGGCAGATGACACAACGGTCATTGGTCTCATCCGAGACGGTGACGAGTCAGCCTACAGACGGGAGGTTGAGCAG